CAGCTCCCCCGCATGTACAGTAGCAAGCTCTCGGTAGTCCACCAACTCTCAATGATATTTGCTGGCTCTATGGCATTCTATGGAAAGTGTCCACTGCCATTTCGCCAACAAATGTGTTGTTCACGTGCGTTTGTATCACGAGCCAGGAACCACGCCGACCTCGTCGAAATCGAAAATTTACGGCTGGGAGAAGGTATCCTCATGAATATAATGTCGCTATCGCTGACAATCTCACCCTTCTATTTTCAACCGCTGTGAAGCAAAAGACATCGACGAACTCCACGCACAGCAGCCAAGCCCGTTATCGTAGGAAAACATCGTAGAATGTATAAATTAAAATTAATTCGCACGAAATGACGCTTAAAATTAACCCGCTAAAGGTTCACTCCCGAGTTGTACACAATTGTACCCCCGGTGTACAGGAGCACGAAATGTGCAGTTTTTGCTTGCCTCGTCATCAACCTATCGGAGTGCAATTTGCACCATCAACGGCGATGAATACGGGACGGTTTCGGGTGTTGTTGACGAGCCATACGTTTCTCATGATTTGCAACGTCAGTGCACGAAAGCGGCACCACCAAATCATGATAATAAAACTTTCGTCGACGTCCGTACTCGCACACACACTTTTTTGGGCGCTATATCATGTTCACTTCGATGACGGGACGGCTCCGGATCCTACAGTGCGTAGGTTACACGTGCACCTTGACGTGTAGCGTTCTCTATAGCTCTGGGATGGACTGTGTACTTAATGGGCTGAAGATTAGTCACGGCAGGCGAGAGAGCAGTTTATGAAAATAATAATTAGGTACTTTACAGTTAACGTTGTTTCTAAGCAAACGACTTCCTATTCCATTCCGTCGGTTGCCTCTATATCAACCGCCAGCTTGCGCGAAAGAGAGCAAAATGTCTTCTCCTCGGTCACACGTTCGCCGCCCCTAAGGTGCGACTCCTCTTGGAGTGCATCTTCATTGTGTAGTATCCAGTGTCCCACACCACCACCTACAAAGTCGATGAGGCTGCACTACCGCTCCGCCTTCAATATCTGGGTATCTAATTGCAGTTGAGTGCTCCTCCTCTTATCCATGGCTTGGTTTGATCGTAGATCTGCCATTTTGTTGAACTCCCTCATCTGATGCCTCCACGTTACTTCTTTCACTCGAGCGAGGTATCCCGAAATTGAAGTCCGGCACCAATTGAAAGTCCGCTTTTTTATTGGGGCGAATACCCTATAATGAAGCATACACACAATTTAGCCACTACATGTACTTTTTTTACATACGCTTTTACAACCTACTTAGTATTAGAGAAAGGCTAGAGCTTACTTTATAATCGGACGCACAGGGACCAATTTCTTGTCAGATTTACTGAGCGGCGTGTGTCTTATTTACTACATTACTACTTTGGAATCTGCAATTAACAGTCACTAACTGAAGGGTTCAGTTTTATCGATACCGTGAGGGGTCGCTTTGAATCAGACGGTGAAGAATTTCCTGGTTTGTCGA